GTAAAATATGTACTCGAATGTTGTGATAATAAATTTCGAATCTCTAACATTGTTATGCTATTTTCAGCCTCTAGAAATCTACACGTAGTGCAGCTGTACGCTTAGTTCCACTCAGTGATTGTAATTACTTTCGAAAATAGATTATGTGAGATATCCGGCTTTTTTTGGCACACTTCTTGATGTTGATAAAATAATCAAGTCGACAGTACTAAAGTTGGGGATAGAGTTTACTGAAGGACTAAGTCAGTTAGTCAAGTTACAAGTTTCTGTTGATTGAGATAGTTGAAAGGGGCCTCACATATATCGTAAAATATAAATATACGATGTTTATTGCAGTAAAAGCGGGAAAGTGTCTGAAAAAGGTCAGCTTCGGACAACATTTATCCATTTGGGAACGACATGCATTCAATTTAGGTTTTAAATGGATCATCGAGTTATGGCTTCATTTCCCGTAGCCATACACATAATTGTTATTTAGGGAGTTTGTACGACAATTTTACTCTACAACGGATACCTTAGATCATGATTTTTTTCGAACATGTCTCTGAACACATAATGTCTCAAACATTTTGTACATACACTTTTAAAGCCAGAATACCCTATTCCATGAGTTCTCTAAAATTGTACAACAGTTCAAGTCACAAATAACCTGGATTACATCCTACATAAGTGAGATATTGCTTTTAACAACGATAGTTCAATAAACTTAGTTTCTAGAACAAATGTTGGTCTCGACAAAATATTGCTTTCTGTAGTGCTGCTCTTAAAGGCTTTACAGTTTTGTGCCACATCTCACCTATAGGCAGCGATGAGTATGCGGTGTGTGCTACTTATATTGGCATAGGTAGTATATAATGTTAGTCGTGAACAGAAGGTCTGGCAGCAGAGAGACAAGAGGATCAAACAGTAAAGAATGGGAACAGAATGCAATGTGTATGAAAATGCAAGAACAATGAAGTCTGAGTCATTTTGAGACAATTGATGGACATTTTGCAAATTAAGCATTTACTTTATGATTGTTAGATTTTATTAACATGTCCTGTAATTTTGCGTCAAATACATTCGATTGTCCCCACCCGTGTTCTCTTCGCTACAAGTACTCAAAATTTTCTTATGTTTTTTTCAGCATCCAATTATATATATATATATATATATATATATATATATATATATATATATATATATATAACTCACTATCATCATTTGAAACAGCATATAATTGGATGAAAAGTAATAAACTCACAAATTCATAATAAATCGATCTTATCTAAAAACTAGGTGACTTTTTTCTTGTAAAGTCAGAACTACTGGATATTTGTGCACGTATGTGTTTAACTGTCAACTCATAGTATGTCAATTAGTGATATGTTTTACAATATCAATTCATTTAGCTTTTGATTGGGATTACAACTTCCTGGAAAAACTGTTAAATCTAATAAGCTTCTAAACTAACTGTATTAAGAAGTAAGGGAAATATAGTGAAATTGATCAGATAAACAATATAGATGATGAGTTTCTTTAATGTATTTTATCACCTGCTTGCTCTCTTATGTTCACATGCATGTTTTTCTGATTCTCTAAATATGTTGTTAATTATATTTTAGATCATCTTTATTGGCTCATTTCTCATAAGTAAACTAAACCATTATCTATTTCATTTCGTATTTTCTTTACCAGGCTAATAGAAAACATGGATAGTGAGACAGACATTTAAATATATTTCTAACCTTCAATATTGTTATCTCAGGCTCATGTTAAGCAAAGATTTAGATATATACAATCAAGATTAATTATTTGAGAACATTTGAATTTATTAATTTTTATTTGGATTATTAATATTGACACTAATATAAATATATATATATATGATATTCATATTACTGCTATGACGGATAAAGCACCAATTAAAACAAATAAACGTCTACAACAAACTCAAGCTCAAGTTAATGAAGTTGTTGATATTATGAGAGTTAATGTTGACAAAGTATTAGAAAGAGATAAAAATCTTTCTGAACTTGATGGTCGAGCTGGTAAGTAAAAAAAATGTTTGATTTGTTACTATGATTGAATTCATAATTGTTTGGTTATATTAGTATTATTTTCTGTCTTACTAATTATTCAGTTAGATCTTAATAATCTATTCATATTACTATAGTATATTCTAATTTTCTTTTAGTCGTCAATTTTACTGTAGGAATACCATGTATAATTAATTGTTCATGAGCTTTTTTTCTCTTCATTTATTAAAATGTGTTCAATAGTTTAAACATTTTTATGAATCTTTTCAAATCAATCCTTTTTTAAGTTTTGCTGAACACATTTTCATACTATGAATTCATGTTTTGTGAATATTTGTGAACTGAATTATTTGTTGTGTATACATAAAAATACGTTATTTTTTGATCACCTTAATGTTTAGTAGACTGTAGGTGTTAGGCACTTACGTCATTGAATTTGAGCGATTGGATATCACTATCAGTTCTCAAACTCAATTTCACGAATCTGTATTTGTTTACTGGTTTTTATTAAAATTAAAGTGTTTGATAACCTGATATATATCTCCCTTAGCATAATAGATCACAATTAAACAGAACATATCTAGCACATGTACATGGATTTTGTTTCTTACTAAGAAAAAAAAACCAGGTAAGTTGTTCACTCCGTGTTAGAAGTTCCTTTGAATTATTTAGTGACAAATTCTGCAAAATGAGAAATTCATGGACATTCTTAATCAACTAAATCACTATGGTGTCCTGGGTCATTTTTAACTGACTAAAGCTTATTAGTTAAAGTTTACTTGAAAGTTCAGTATGTATTTAGTGATCTATGGGCGTTACATTGTTCCAAAATATAGTATTTAAGCTCATAGTTTGTAAGGGTTAAGAGTTTTTGAGTGCTTTCATTAATGTATTCTAATGTATTCACTTACTATATTAGTGTACGCCTTAATTTTAGGGTGTACAAAAACCTGAACATGTTATTTCAAAGAACAAATTTCTTTTCAGTGATAAAAAATCGATGTTCTTGCAATTTAACTCAGAAAATTTTAATACGCAAGATTCATTGCTAATAGTTTGATAAGCCAGGAGTTTGTTCTGTGCCATTTATACATTCTAATCTGAATAAATTACTTTTTCCGACTTCTTTGGTCTAATATTATTGTTTGTTATGTGATTGAAGATCGTTTAAACTTATTGATAGTTTATTTTTAGTTTCCATCCTTTTCCCGTTTCTAGTACTGACTGTTTGACACATATTTCTCTTTATCCCAAATGTAAGCTTGTGATTTAAACTAATATTTACCAAATATTTAAAAAAAACGGGAAGTTTTCGTTTAGATTTATGTGTGCCTATTAAGGTGAAATCAACATTTTCATAGTACCTATATGCTATATTCATGATTGGTATCTGGCGACCCAGGTTTTGTGCATAGTATTTCTGAAAAATACAACACATCGATGTTTTGTTATTTTTGTTCTTGGGATAAGTTTATTTATGTTTGATTTTAAGCTTGGAGATGTATTTTTCTCGAAGGTTGCAGTTTTAAGAATGTTCCTGACAAAAACATGTGATGAATTACTCTTCATCTTGTTCTTATTATTGGCTAAATGTATGTTCGTAACGACGTAAAAAATTGTTGAACTAAGTGTATTCCTATTAATCTAATAATTCAAGTATCCATCTAATTATTTATTATTTAGTGAAGGTTTAGTTGTCATGTTTTGTTTTTTGACCTTTGAGAATTCTACTGTACAGTAAAACGTAGTAAAATTTCAAAATATTATACATTTCCTATATCTTATTTAGGAAACTATTTCTTGAATTGATATTTTATTTCTCTAGTCCTCGTGCTTGACAAGCGCTGCAGCTGAAACGTATATGACAGCTATGAAGATTATAGATGGAACCGATTCATTTATGAATTGATAAGATATAGGTGTTTCTTCTCTCCAAGTATTCAGACCAAGCCCAGTCTCCCATGAGTAAAGTTTATGGAATATATTATGTAGGTTTATTGAAATAAGGTTCACTTCGGTGTTTTATTATCAATTATGTACCTTATTAATGAATCATTTTTTTAGGTAATGATTAGTGAATATGGTCTTGACATTATTCTATGAACTATTAGAATAATACACAGTTTATTCTAAAGCTCAGGCTAACCAACTGTTATGAATAAGTATCAGGTTTAGGATAGCTTTTTTCTACCTTTTTTCTATCTCCTGTTTTTCTATCCTTTGTAACTAGAATATATATTCATCTCCTATTTCCGGTGCTTTAGTGGTTTTGGGATGTGATCATTTAGTTTGGTGTCATTCTAGTGAAAAGCTTTTATATGATATTTATTCAAGCTCCTTATACTTAATTACTGTTTATCAACTCTTCTTCATTTTCATATTTTACTATTAGGTAGTTGACTCATTCAGTATCCGGCAGTTTTTCTTATTGATTTAATTAAGCTAAGTAATTATATATAATGTTATATTTCAAGGATATTGGTATTATAATACGTTTGTTATTTAATTAAGCGAAGTAATTATATATAATATTGTATTTCAAGGATATTTATATTATAATATGTTTGTTTTGTATGATGATTATGGTTAGTGTTCTGAAATATTCATTTTTAAACAATGACAGTGATTCTGATGGTCATAGTTTCCTATCAGAGACTTGACGTAATGACAAGAATTTCTGTTAGTCGTTTAGTCACTGGTTTGTGTTTCCAAAAAAGAGAGATATCCATCTGTAGACAGAGATAAATATTTGTGTTAAACGGTTGACTCGTAATACTTTCTAATCTACCAAGTGACAAGCGTCATACTTATGCGTATTCGATGTGTAGGATCACAATAGCGAAGTTAATTATAATGGTTAACATCAAAGCTAATCAATTATAAACTTATCAACTTTTTACTTCTGGACGATAAAAAGAATTCCCCAAGCCTTATATCTTAAAGTTTAGTAACTAATAACTTGATATTTCTTTGTCTTCTTGAGTCGTTTGTTTCTCAAAAATCACTAATTCATATTTCTGTGCTATTATAATAAATTATTTGATACTTATTGTAAAATGGGTGTTTTTTTGATGCGGTAATATTTTCCCAGTGTTGGTCAATCACTGTGAAACGATTTATTTAATCGTTTCATATATATTGGATTAGTGATTTTTCGTGTAGATTTTCACTTTTTAGTTCAACAAATGTAAAGCGTCTCATTATTATAATTATTATAGTTTTGCATTAAGTAATTGTCTGATAAAAATAACAGTATTGATTTGTAACGTTTTTAATTATCTATTTAGTGGACTCATTTTCTCCTAAATGATTTCATGTCATAAGTTGTTTTGTTAGATAAATCTGTAAAGGTACAATAGTGGTTTGCTAACTGTTAATCTATGGTCTTTTAATTCTCATTTTAAAATATATTTAATAATTATAGTAGAGAGAGAGTTCACTACTATCCTAAATATTATGCACTTTATGGCTCAGCATATATCTTGTTAACAGTGAAATCGATGTAAGTTTGTAGATATTCGTTTATTGATTTGTCATTTCACTGAGTTCACGCCATATTGAACAGTTTAATCTTTCAAATCAATAAAGAAATTGTCGTGTTCAGATAATTTACACTAATTGACGATGAACATTTAATTTTAAGCCTTCAAACTTCAAAGCAAAACATTTATTCATTTTTCTCATGCTTTAGTTAATTAATTTGGGATTTTTTGAAACGAATCATTCCTTTGTAATACGATATATACTATATTTAACTAATATTGTAATACATAAGATAAAATAAATATTAGGTCTTTGTATAATAACATTCTAAAACAGATAACATCCACTTATAGAGATCTTCACATCCTTTTATTTTATGATACGAATTCGGAAGTGTTTAGTGAATGCAAATCAAGTGAATAGTGAGTTAAGGTATAGTTTTTTATACAATCAACTTAGACGCCAACTACAACCATTAACTAGCCCAAATTATTCTTACTGGTAGGAACTTGCCACTTGAATTGTCACATAAGCTACTATGTTTATTAGTAATGATAAGTTTGTTTTCAAAATGAATGAGAGTACTGTCTGGCATGCAGGTAGATCATTCAGATTTATTAGCGAAACGTGTTGCTTGATGTTGGCTTAACCCATTTTAGTGACATTATATTGTTACGCCTATTTATATGGAGTGGGTTACTGTTATACCCGAACGAAGAATAAATGAATGGTTTCTGCTAGGAAATATTTATGGACTGTTTATATTCTTATTGGATAACTATTAAGTAATTATCTTATATGTTTATTTATATTTCTCTTATTATAAGCTTTCATTTGACTTATTGGATACTGTTATACGATTGACTATTCTTAAGTTATTCCCAATCTATTAGTTACAGTCTCCTATATTCACAACCACTTCTGGCTCGATCTCGTATAATTATTATTTTCCATTTTATAGTTTGGTGCGGTCTGGTTCGCTTGTATATCAACCATGTGTGTCTAAAATATACGATTCATATAGCGGAGGTTGATATTTGCGTTCTGGACTGAACGGGCCGGGTTAGGCGAGAAGCTACTATCTCGGAGGACCAATAAGGACCCAGAGTTGACACTAGGCTGCTTGTGCTGGTTAACTCATCGTTGATTTAGCGCACAGACAAGGTCATATATGTGTTCTGATTGGAAATTTTGTCACACGATACTGAACGGGCCATAGGACGTAAGCATAACGATTAATTCATGTTTAGTGTGTTATTTTACAGGGGTACAGTGGTATCAAGTAATTGAAAGCAATTTTCAGAGAACCGTAATTCCACGTTTTTTACTCACTGACACTTCAGCAGACCAGATCTATAAGCCTAAACAACTCATATGATAATCAATTTCTGGAGAATCGGCTAAAATTTTGAGTTGTTTGTTCCTGTAACCGGATTATGTCTTTTATTGGTAGAAAAATTGATATAGCATTGATGACTACAAAATATAACATAACATTTATTACTATTCATTAGTGACCAATTAATGTTCAGTTCTGATTGTAATCATATAACACCTTAGGAACTGTAAAAATTATGCAGTCATATGTACAATATTTCAGGGATTGTTTTAGTTCTACAAATTTAATTTACTGTCTGATTTTACTTTTATCGTTTAGCAATTGTTATTATACTCTCATTTCTTTTTTGTTACAAATTTATTTTCTTAAGATGCATTACAAGCTGGTGCTTCTCAATTCGAAGCTAGTGCTGGTAAACTGAAAAGAAAATTTTGGTGGAAAAATTGCAAAGTAAGTGACATAGTGTGTTTGTAGTGTTTTAGTGAGGAAAAGGAAACTAAATTTACGTTTTTAAATATATTTTATTTGAAAAAAATAGTCATGGTAAAATTTATTGCGTAGAATAAAATTAAATTGATTCTCAGTTAATAAGTAGTTAGTAGTGTAGATTGGTACATAAGGTGTTTGCAACTGAGATCCCTATGTTAAACTTTATTCATACTCACTAATTCACTACATTTCTCTCCTTTTATTTTGTAAACAATATATTAATTGATATTTGTATAAATTATTATTTGTTAACGGAACATAACGTGAATGAAATAAGGAATGGAATATCGAATCCGATGTGTATGAGAGGATTAATTTAATTATAGTCAATTATGTAAATGAAATGTCGAAATTCACTAAGTCTTCCGGAATAATTTACTGTTATTATTTACTAGGTACGGATTTATACGCTTGGCTTTAAGCCATAATTTACGCAGGAGAACTAGTGACTACCCGGTTGCCTGATCCGGGTAGATCGGGGTCAGAACGTGCAACTTAGTGGCCGCAGGTCAAACACCTTAACCACTGAGCTACTGCTTCACTTTGAAATACTAGGGAAAAATTAATACTAAATGAGATAGTGATAAAATAGCGATGTTATTCAAGCATCATATTGACGAATCAAAAACAAATATTGTAACACATATCACTTGTTGATTTAAGATTTCTTTCAATCAAGGGATATAGGAGTTGTAGAAAAGTGAACTTACTGTTAAGTGCCAACAAAGCTTACAACATAGCAATGATTATTTTAATTGGTAAAATACCAGATAAAGATTTACTCATAATATTTTACAAGGAAAATAATGCATCCGAAAACAGACTTTTACGCACTTTAGAATTGATCAGATTTGTAAAATTCGAGTTTTTCGTATTATCAGAAGTTGTGCTTCTGTCTAAAACTATTTCAACATAATCTAAAGAATGACTCATAGTTAGTGGAGTTCAACCATACTAAGCGTGAAACAAATATCATTGGATGGTAGTTGCACAATATCGCGAATGACTGAAGTTACAAATGTGGAGCACTAGATGACAACTCAATAATTTAATTTTAAGCGCTTGCCACGAGACCCGAATCCTGGGTTTGGTCGCTGATGGGGTTGTAAATGGTCATTTTCAATTAACCCCATACTAAAAAAACAGCTCCCCAGTGTTTTCCGGTTTTCAGTAGTTATCTAAGGTCAGTTCATAATGTAACACTTCAAAATTCACCAATCATCACAACCCCTTCATACTAAGAAAGATAATCCAAAACAAACACGAAGTTCAACTCATAAAACTACTCAAAGTGATCAAAAGTAATATCTGAAGTAAAGTTAGCATCAAAAAATCGTGTGGAAATGCCGGATTGAAATATATCAATGTTTATGCGACTTATGTCTAGTGTTTGGCTATCGAACCTATAAGTTTAGCCATATGCTGAAAGATGCACCAAAAATAGTTAGTTCCCTTTAATTTCAGCTATTCCTATGAATTCTTGTCTACTTTACTAAAAGAATACAATGGGGATGACAAAAAGACTGTAAAACAGTTTCATCAAAATATTTTATTCAAACTACCTTTTCTTTACAACAACTGGATTCGAAACTTGATTTAAAGTAAATTCATTGAGATTTTTGGTAATTTTCATCAGTCATGAGAATGAAATGTAATATTTCCAAATCAGTATGACTGTTAATAGTCAGTCTCCTACCACTACTTTTCTTTTCTCATAATAGCTATGATTTATTAAAGTTTCACTAACATTTACTTTGTTTAGAATTCAGTTTTTAAGTTAATTTCCAAAAACATCTTTATTCTTAAATTAGTTTTAATACACACCTAATCTATCTTTGTATTCCCCTACTTTGGTTTAACAATCTCCTTTTTTCTAAAAAAAAAACTGAAACATTGACCAGAGACTCTTATTTATTAATTACTTATCAGTGATTGATTGCTTAGTAAAAATTGTTTTCATTGTTTCTTATATTTTCAATCTGATTTAGATGCTAGCAGTATTGGGTGTACTAGTAGTTATTTTAATTATCGTATTAATTGGTGAGATTATAGTTACTACTACCATGGTTTGTATGTATGTTGTTAGTGTGCATGTATGCATCTACTTTAAATGTAATTTCCTTGTGTATATGTTGTAAATGTTGTTGAACTGTTGTGTTGTGCATTAAAGCCTCTAAGAGATGTTTATCAATGATCCATAATATCAAGCGCTGTTGATAATTCTAGTTAAAACCGATTTTTTATTATCTTTTATTCTAGTTATTTCTTTTTGTTGTATACACAATAGTCATCTAGTCTTAACCATAAGTCAATAATTTGTAATTTACTATGAGCATAAGCTCAACTCACAAATAATATTTATTTTTTATAGGTAAAAGTTGTTTTCAATTTTTTAACATTTTATGGTTTCGTGATTTTGTTTATTCTAATTAGTTTGAAATTGTGCTCTTCAATCCATATTTTATAATTTTCGTAGTAAATTAATGTAGAATTTTATAACATCTAAACAGATAAGGAATTTTTATCGCCGTTAGTAGTGACTAGCTTTGAAGTGGACTTTCCAAAGTTCTTATGGGTAAGTAGTATTTGTAGGGTCAACCAATCGATGAGTGCGACAGTTGTTTATTGATTACACTACATTATGGGTATACTATATGATGAATGGACTAAATTTAGGAATAGTGATCGGTGTATTCTGACTTCACGGTTTGATACTTATTAAAGACTATGAATATTCATCCCTGAGAAATTCCCAATCTAGTAGTGAATGAGTGTCTAGCGTTCTAGGGTTTTTGGCAACTCTCAATTTTATATTAATTGACGATAATTGCACATATTCTTCAAAGGTATTCGTCACAAACACTATGGTTATATTAAAATCTTGAAATAATTAACTGATTTCTTTATCAGTTCCTATCAATTTTACTCTATTTTTACGAGTTTTTAGCTAAATATTTGTATCGATCTACTTTCGTGTGAACAATAGGACATCAATCTAAGAATCAACTGATTATCAGTGACTAGGCTTTGGTAATTTTTCGAAACAATATTTAAAAGGATGAGACTAGCAAAAAATGTTATATAGGTCGAATTAAAATCCTTATCTTTAAGGTAAATGCGTTTAACACTACAACTGGTAAATAATGTACTATGTTTTGTTCATACAAGCTTTATTTTTCTAACTACCTGCATCATACGTCTTTATAACCCGTAATCAATATTCAGTTCTGTAAGTATTTCAATCTCGATGAGTAATTTATTTACCATATTATATATTAAGTCAATCATTCCAACCGAAATTATTGAATATGCGGTAACAGAAATATAATTTCAAAGCTTCTTCAGTAGTATTCAGGTTGTCGACGAGGGTCAGCTTGATGAGTAATGATGAAAATTCAAATGTATCCTCTTTGTTATCTTTCTATGCACTAACACCCAAGTTAACCGTCATCTCATATTTCAAGGATATTTTCAATGTTTTTACAACTCTTTCAAATATAGACAACGTTTTATGATATGCACTCAATGCAGACAGGATGTCTAGTAAATATACTTGTAGTCTTTTGGCTTCTTTCTTTTAATCATGAACTCAACTTCAGTTGTATTGATTGACTTATTCATTCAAAAATGTGTTCATGATGTTGTTATGGTTCCTCTTATTCCGACTGAGTTACTCTTATTGCTTAATATTCTTGTACACTACTTCACTCGACAAGTCCCCAAACCATAATACGGTTGAACAAGGACGCAATCATATTCCAAATAACAAAGGTGAGTGGAAGTAAGAATCACCGTGAGAAAAATGTTAGTATATTTATAATTTCTAGAGTCTTCTCCAAGTCCCCGCTAGCGCTGATTGATCACGAAATGGCCAATCAGCGTGCTCTAACATAATCCTGCACGGAATACGCTTTAATCAAATCTATATCTCGCTAACAGATGTAATTCATTGTAAATAAATAGGACAGCGTAGAAACTCAGTTCAATCCGATATATGTAACAAAAATAAAAACACTAAAATACAATGGTTAGGATAAAATAGTGGAACATTAGGACGTGCAAGCAGTAATATGTCTTGAGTGATAAAAATTTATTAGACTATTGACTTCTTTTATAAAAAAACACGTTGCTTAGTTTAGACTTTAAAGCTCCAATCTGCATGACTGCAAAAGTTGATACCTGAAAATCCCACTGAATTATTCCCATATACCAGTTTTCATAGAACAACAATAATAATTTTAACAGTTCGTTTTATAACGTTTCCCAATTTTTTGTCGTTAATCACTATATATTGAAGTGCTCCTGGTTGATGTAAGAGTAGATTATAGGAAATCTGAGAGAGATCAAATATGTCATATCACCTCTTAAAGTCCCTAGTTGTATTTCTAGAAGGAGGAATACTTGGTTGACTTCACACGATAACGTTCATAAGTAGTAACATGGCCCAAATCAGTTACAAATGACGCAGATATATTCATACTCTGTCTTAGTCACGTAACACATTAACAGCAAAAACGTCATAACATTTGGATTCTTGGTCCATTTGGATACAGCTATTTTCAATATATTGTTTCCATAATCAGTCCTTAACATTTCATTTATTTCCATTTTTCTTTTAAAACCTTTGTACCTAGTTATCTTTTTTGTTAGATAGAGGATTTATGATTGAGTTACATCAATCTCATTTTTCATATATCTGTGTGTGCATATCGTTTGCTTACACACTTTCATATATTTTTACTGCATGATAATTTTTGTACTAAGAAATACTTCAGTGTCTTCTCCATATACTTGATTCTTTGTTGTAGCCGTTATACATCAACACATTTATAGTGGGAATTATGTGTGTGTGTGTCATACATAAAAAAAATGCATTCACCCTATAGATTTGTTTCTGTTAATTTTTGGACGTCATTAAGATTCTTTTCAATGTCTTATTAAAAATGATTGTTTGTTCGCGGGATATGTACATATTGATGACTTTTTTTTCTGATTATGAATGCATACATGTGGTCTTGATTCTACCTCTTCTTCTTCTTCTTCTTCTTCTCGTTATTATTATTATTATTATTACCATTGTTATTATTATTATTATTTGATCAGCCTCCTCAAATCAATTTAACTTTTGTGTTTATATTATTCACTAATTATTCTTTTGAAGTGGTATCTTTAAAAAAAAGAATATTAATAACGTTGATCGTGTATCTTCTTTATAGTTACTGTCATTGTTGTTGTAATCTTTGTTTATATTTACTTATGTATTTTGCTGATATGTATATTATTAACGGATTTCTTTAATCGTTTCCTGTCCGATTTCAGTATGGGTCGTTTCTGAACAAAAGTAAGTTGGTTGTGAATGTTAAATATGATAATTTTACAATAAATGAAGATCAAATGATTTGATCTCAAAGATTTCGTCATTCAAAGTTATTGATACAGATTTCAAATAATATAGTTATTTGAAGTGTGTAAATCATACCTCAGTTAAATCATTTATTTGGTAAACTAAACAAATCTGTGTTTTATGAAAGTTAAGAATTACATATTTACCGAGTACATGTTTATATATTCAACTGTGAGCCACACTGTTTTTGTGTGGGCAAAAGTAATACATACTGTTTGCATGCTTAAATTAATATAGGTTGGGAGTGGAGTTCGAACCTGTGACCTACTTGTTGGAAACTGAATGCTATAACTAAGCACTAAATCATTGCCACTTTTATTAACGGCGGCCTGCTTGAATATCTGGGTTACCTGTTTCTGCCATCTAATTATTTCAACAAGTTGTCTTTTTTTCATTTTGTTTTGACGTCGCATTATGTCCATTAATCGCGTAACCTATACAAGTGTGTTTATGAAAAGCCTACGACCTTTCGCTGCACAAATTACAAAAAAGTACTATAAAAGACATCGTGGTGGTTGGTAATATGCGTTAAAGAGAATGAACATTAATCGTATGTGGATTCCCGAGCTGCTAAATTCTAAATGCCGATCACTAATCAACAAAGTGGACTATCTTCGATTCCTACTAATTCAAAATATGTATCGTAATTGTGATGTCATCACTATTCAAGAATCTTGGTTAAATGATTTACAGGACGACTGCCTAGTATCACTACGTGATTTCGAAATTTATCGTCAGGATCGATCAAACAATGAAAAGAGATGTGGTGGCGGTGTAGCTACGTTTGTAAACGTGAACTGGTGTCGATCTTCGTTTGCGTGTTTCAAGTTCTCAAATGACTTTATCGACTGTCTAACTCTAAGATGACGTCCAAAACATCTGAATAAATACAGATATGTTTATGTCACCAATATCTACGTGACTCCAGACTGCACATCATCTGCGCTATCTGTTTTCGCTGATGAATTCACTGAGTTCTTTGTTACTGCCTTCAGTGATTCACTTCCAGTTGTATGTGGTGATTTCAATTCATGTGACTGTAGCTTCCTTTCGTCAGTAGGTCGCCAAAATGTAGTAGATTTTCCTACTCGTTTGGATGCTCATTTAGACTTCGTTTTCATTAATGATGTGGGTATATATGTGACTCGTAAACGTGCTGCATTGTCTAGCTCGGATCACTGTATAATTCGTTTTCTACCTAAAGTATATGGAAAGCATGAGAAGAGTACACTCTTACATCAAACCAAGAAAGTCAAATATAGGAATTACTCAGTATAAAATATCCGAAATCTGCAAAACATGTTTCATACGACTAACTGTGGATTATTTACAGATGACTCACTGGAAATCACTACTGATTTTATCACTTGTTACCTTGAATTGTGTTTTGATATTTGTTGTCCCACTGAAAACATTTTTGTAAGTTTCGATTGACTCACACCTTCACAATTGAAACGACTACGGAGGGTGAGGGAAAGACTGTACAAGGAGAAAAACTGTAATGAAGTTCGTAAGCTAAATGGTCTGATAAACGTAGAGATGAGACGTCTCAACTGTATATTTACTGAAAAACTCCTGTCTTGCAAAAACTCTCCAAGTATGTGGAAAGTCTTTAAAGAATTTACAGATGACAGACAGATTAGGAGCGATAACCAGCTGAATGTTTGTGACTTAAATAAGTCTTTTGTACGTCAGTCATCTGATGTAATGCTCCCTTCATCCACAGGTTTAAAGGATAGCTGTGTTCCTCGTTCCACTGAAACTGATGTCCGAAGATGTCTCCAGTTACTTAATTTATCCTGATGTTTGGGACCTGATGGTATCCCAAACATCCTTTTTAAAAAATGTGCTGATGTCCTATGTTATCCATTCACGACTATCTTTAACCGATCCTTCTCATCTAATCCCATACCGAAAATGTGAAGAAAGATGAAGATAATCCGTGTACTCAAGAAAGTATCTGGTGATAAGAATGTGAAATTTAGACCTATTGCAATAACTTCACCCTTCCTCAAAACAATGGGAAAATTATTAATACTTCCATTTCAGACTGCGATAAGAGAGCATATTGATCCGTATCAGTTTGCCTACAGATGGAAATGAAGCACCTTACATGCCTTTGCTGTTCTGCATCACAACATAGTGTTCAACTTAGAAAGCGGTAAGAAGTATGTTCGATGCGCTTTTTGGGACTATACTTCAGCTTTTGATTCTATAAAGAGACAACGTTTACTTAACAAGTTAATCAGCGTCAACATTGACAGCTGGATAACCAACTGGCTATGTTCCTATCTCTCTGGAAGGGAACAGTACACTGTATTTGGAGGAATGTGTTCAGAGTCTCTACTGTCTCATAAAGGTGTACCACAAGGAGCTGTTCTTTCATCTCTTTTTTTCTGCATGATTTGCCGTCTTACACAGAAAACACTTTTGTGAAATGATCTCACTGTATATGTGTCTATATCTTCCTCTTTACATCCCATAGAAATGAATGGGTTTTTGTCTCGTATTGATTTTTGATCTGTTGGTAATGGTCTTATACTTAATCTGTCTAAGTGTCAAGCTGTTTACTTTAGCATGAGACATGAACGGCATCTTAACACCATTTTGAGATCCCATAATGCCTGTGCCATTGGAGACTCTTTAATAAACACATTGTCGAAGGTCATTTATCTTGGTGTTACCTTTTCCTCTGATCTGTCTTGGTCTTCTCACGTTTTATTGTTATGGAAGAAGGTTTTTCGTCTGACTTACTACGTAAAGAGATTGCATGCTTTTGGGATTACTCGTCATTTACTTTTACAATTTGTCAATTCTTGCATATTACCTATTATTCTCCGTTATTCTTTCCCGGACTTTTGAGAAAAGACATTGCTGCATTGTGGAGAGTGCTGAAGGCAGTCAGCAAGACGTGTGGTGAATCTTTCGAGGTCATAATTATAATGGTTGTAGATAGACATCTAAAGTCATGCAAACTCCTGGCAGGTGTTATTTTATCAGATACTAACCATCCCCTTCACTCTTTTCTTTCTCTTTGTATATCTTCTGGTAGAACGAGACGTAATTACGCTAAAATCCATGCACACAAGCAAAAGTATAAAAGTTGTATAATACCTTTCTTACCTAGCAAATATGCTCTGTGACGAACAGGTTGTCAGAGTTAACCTAATCAATAACCTGCATTCTTAACATGTCTCTAATTTGAAAATTTGTACAGTTTTTCGGTTTTTTTTTAAAACCTTTTATATTTTTTTGTATTTGTTACTGTGTTTTTTTGTGGTGTAAGAAACTTGTTGAAATACGCTGTGCTGAGAATTCTATATTGTACCAAAATATAATATTGAATAAAGCCATTAATAATAATAAAATAATAATAAGACATAAATATTGTTATGAATGGGTACTAAAATAAATATGCGTCATACAAATAAAGAAATTAGCCTGGGAACAGATCTAAAAAGAGAGAATGAGTTTAATTAAAAACAAATAAATGAATAAAAGTAAGTGAACGAAAGTGCTAATAGTAGGAAAAAACAGTTCAGTTAGGAAAAATAACCAGAGAAAGATTCTTTTTTGAAGGAATTCATATCACTGTTATGAACAATGTAAAAACTACAGCAATACCGTCATTAGTTTCTGTTCTAACCCATGTCTGGTGAACTCGTAAGCCACTGAGTCATACCATCTCTCGTTCATCACCAGGAAGTATTAATGGACGGACAGATGCCAGTCGTATAAATATTTGTTTCATACTACGGTACTATGTAACAAACTGACCACCTCTGATTTTCGCGTTTGATCCCATCATCGGCAAATAATATCTAAGCTACTGAAGTTGTTTCGAAAGGTGATAACATTTGTGTGGTCGTCGCCACACCTGAACACACGGTTGTTTGAACGGCTTCCGAGAACTACGACGGAGCCTCCAGACGTCCTAGAGGAGCCGCAGAGTTCCATCCAATCAGAATGCAATACAGCTTTCTAGAGTACCAACGTGGCATGCTACTATTGGTCAGCAACAGATTGGTTGAATTATAGTGTTGATGTAACAAACGCTAATATCTATAAATACCCATGATTTCCTGTACATTTTGATTCTTGCCCAACAAGCACTTTCTCCAATCTTCTGTCTTATTTGTGACTTAGAGGGTTCTAGCGTTTGAGTGCTCAAGTTTATATGCTGTATATTAAGAATCTAAGCTCTCGATATAACAACGATGCTGAACCTCGGCATCAAAAATATACTGTTGTTCCTAAATGTCAACAATCCTTCGGACAATTGTCAGTAGTAATAAGTTTTCATGAAGCCTTTCTTTCCATTCCTTCGTGTAGTATGTAATTTTCAAAAAAAGTTGTTTTGTATTTTATTTGTGCTTAATTGAGTTAAAATATATTCCCTTTTAAAAAATATCTTATATACTTTGTGAAATATATTCCACTACTTGACTAGAACGTAACGAACCTTTTATCTACATGGTTCTTTGTGGTACTATTTTCGCTTTGAAATATCAATAATGAATCTTTTTTTTATCTTCTAAGCATGTCCATGTTTTTTCTATTCAAGTGTCAGTATAATGGTAGCTTATGCAATCACTAAACCCTCATCAACTAATTAATTTTGTGAATGATATCTACTTTTTTTGAAATATTTCCGAGTTTTGTAATCTTGACAGGATTAATAAATTTTGATAAAATAAACACGCGCATGTATGTGTATAGCCTTTATACAGATTTCTACAATTCCTTTTTAAGAATTCTCTAAGACCATTATTTTTTGCCATAGATTAGAAATTTTAGGAACCAGATAGAGCCGTTTAGTGCAGACTTAAATTTAATGATTCTATATAATAAGTGTATTACTAAACTTATTCATGAATATTCGTTACGACGGAATATTATCAATACTTGTCACCCTAGAGTCAGTCAATTAAGAGATCTTCAAATTAATTGATAGTGAATTGACATCAATGGTTAGCATGACTGTAAAATATTCTTCAGTATGGTTTCTTAATATCAAAATTTATTGCCACTTCGTCTACCTTCTCTTGTCTATTTGTGTTATCGAATATGATGAATTTCTTCATTTTCTTGTGTCTTAGTTGTTTTGTTTTTCTGTATTCTGTAGAAATAAAGTTGAACAAAGTGGACATTCATCTCATCATCTTGTGATGAATAACACATCGCATTTATTATCGGAACCAGTGATGATGGAGCATTCAAGAGAAGGAAAACCAATTTTGCCTGATGATCATATGATAGGTTCGAATGAAGTAAATAGTGGAACGCCACCGTCTTTTAATTCTAATAGAATAAAATCCAAAGGTTTTGAGAAATTACGGTCACCTCCATTGTCGTTGCCAACTTCTCCTTCGTATACCCCCTCTTTCTCTTCGTATCCCTCTTCATCTCAACATCATTTTGAAAACAATGAAACATCATTGTTTTAATTGGATATTTCTTCATGAATCGATTATTGATTAATCTCCGAATTGTGCCTGGGATCAGTTATCACTACACATATTCATTTTCATACGTACACCATTGTTGTTAATTGGTGATAGTCAGTGTAAACCAAAATAAATGATATTTATTTATTTATTTCATGCACATATAAAACAAGAGATCATATAACATTGTTTTATTCTCTTTCTTGCTCACTTGTTCATCTGTTTTTGACTCTTTTACAAAACTCAAATCATCGAGACCACATATTAATCAATTAACACATGTGCATTGACAAATTGTGTAATGTGTTTTAGTCTGTTTTTAGTGTACATCTTTGTCTGTCTATCCGTATGTCTTTGTCTGTATGCCTTTATGTAATTATGTATGTGTACTATCCAGATATTATCGTTATTAAGACTACTATGACAACTATTATTACTTCTTATTTGATAGAATATTACAATTTATTTCTGATCTTTCCTTCCTTTACTCTCGTATGTCGTTTCTTCCTTTTTTCCCCTATTTTTATGTGGATTAATATATGAAATAAAACAGAAAAAACAATTAATATTTGATAATTTCTCTAGGTTGTTCATTTTGATGTTCTCTATGATAATGGTGATAAAGTTCTTTGCATTTGTTATTTTTACTGATTGTTTGTTTTCATTTATTCATTTAGTTCATTTGGAAGCGTAAATGTTGCAGCTATGAATTCGATGACGTTTGATCCATTCCCATATTTCAACCAATACAATTAGTTAGTAGTATTAGCCATCATAATAAGCGTAGAATGTATGGTGTTATTGTTTGTAGTCATACTTGAAATGAGTAGTTATACACTGGATGGTGATTAATATTAGATGCTTAATTAACTATTCTACTTTGCTGGTCATTAATAAATAAAATGAAGTGGTTAGAAATATCGTATTTATACGTACATAGTATATATATATATATATATATATATATATATATATATATATATATATATATATATATATATATATATATATATAATCAATAATTCACTGGAGTTTGACTATAATTTACTAGCTTTTAAGTTAGTTTCAATAAAAATTATTTTGTTTGGTATTATACTATCATGTTGTCCCATTGCTTTAAGATTTTTTCGCTGAATCCCTCTATGACAAAATGGATGTCATGGTTTGGATAGTTTAAAGTATTCTACCGTTTTTTCCCTTGCTTTTTAAAAAATTATTATTCGTTTTTCTTCTATACAATTTACATCAATACTACCTGTTGTTGTTATTGGTAGTTTATTACATAACAACCTAGTGAATAAATCATAATCATCATGTTTGTTTGTTCTGTTATCATGTGAACAACTAATTTGGTCTCTGCTGCTTACAACTGGCATACTATACATCTTTTATTTGGACTGGTCTTGAGAAGTATTGGAGATATAACCTAGGAATTTCGTCTGTACACGTTTCAATGAACAAGATTGAATATAGAAAAATAAATATTGTCCGCTTAGCTTTCTGCACGCGTATTCACTATTTGTTGACTAGTGAGGAACAGTTTATTATCCGAATGAGTTTTAGTCTAAGCTTGTTTTTTCCGAAAGCTGTGATTTCAACCCAACGATTGTCGTCTTTAGCTAGGCCCGCTTAGAAAGCCAAGTTCGTCAAATCGACGTATTTATCTCTGAAAAAACCCCTTCATATACTTGTGTTTTAATGTTTATCTCTCTTTGGAGGTAATTTCCGTCATACTTATGAATCATGTGTCAAACTTCTCTTTTTTTCGTTAATTCATTTCGATACTCTCAATTTGTTGAAGTTTGCTTGTTTCTTCTGCGTTTATAATTTTGTACTCGCTTTCAGTCTACTGGGTTAGCCGCTTTTTATGGCACAAAAAATCAGTTATCTCTCTCTATGAACCTTAAAGACCCGAAATATCATCCTCCAACTTACCAGTTTCTCATTGATTATGTTGTGGTGTGAAACTCAAACATTGATTTTGGTCGCGGACTGTGACATTTTTGTAGAATTGTTTTCATTTGTAAACTTTATTTTGTAATCTCGAAATTTCCGTCAGTTGTTAAGAGATTTCAATGTTTTTGGAAAAATTACCCACAAAATGTAAATTCAATATATGGTGTGCTATAGCTCATAGCATAATTAATGCATTCAAACGCACACAAGCACAAAAACAGGTGATGTTCAGAACTGGCTTTTCAGAAGTTGATCTACCAGGAGATTCAATTGTTGACTTAAGATACGCAGATGAAACATTTCTGTTTGGAGAAGACGCTGACAAAATCCAGTCTTCTGACCACCTTAAAGAAATATCCAAGCATGTTTACGATACGGTTTTCTCCCTCCAAATGCAAAATGTTTCTTTAAGATTGGCTTGCGCCATCGTCTGAACTAGTGATAGTTAGTGAATTAGTTGAATGTATAGGCCACTTCACTTACCTCGAGTCTCACCAGTCTTGTTGGTCTGGTGTGATGAAATCTAGACATATGCAGAAGGCCTGGTTGGCTTTTACAAACTTGCGTCACTTGTGGCGTAGGCAAGATATCCGTCTACCAACCAAAGGACTATTTTGCTGCGGCAGTAGTTCAATCCGTCCTACTCTATGGATTTGAAAGATGGCCGTTAAGAACAGAGGATATTTGTGGGATACTGGTATTCGCTCATAGGTGTTCTCGGACTACTGCTTGTGCATTTTGGGACTACAGAGTAACCAGTGACTGAGTTAAGAATAGAGTACTAGGTAAGGATGGTAAATCGATTGATGAAGTTGCAAGTCTTCATCAACTGAGGTGTTCGGGACATTTGATACGTATGCCCAACCATCGCCTATTTCAGTGGGCTATGTTTTCTGGTGTAGGAGTAGGCTGCAAGAGAGCTAGGAGCGACTGAGCCAAAACATGCCATCAGTCCAGGAGGTCACTGGCAATTGGACTGAGCCATGTTAATAGGTGTAGGCTACTTGGCTGAAGTCCACGTGATTTTCGTAAACAGTTGTTAGACATTACATGGCATGACTAAGATTCGTTTGCATTAGCGCAAGGCATCCATTCTTTGTCTTCCCCCACATTCTAGATTCCTCATAACTATTTTTGAATTTATTTTGCTAACTTATATTTTCTTCTTGAGTCGTACCTTCGATGCCTAAGCTTTCATATTACTAGTGATTTCGTTACCACTTCTACTATTCTGGGATTTGGCCTGACAATTCCATCTCCATGTACTAACCGGTTATGTTAACTTGAAACGATTTACATTCGTACAGGTTACACGTTGTGACTGACTATTTAGATAGGACAGTTGACTTTTGACCTATGAATAGGATCGTACTTAATCACTCTATCCTAAAAATTTCCAAAACATGGAAGAAGCTGCCTAAAGACATAGCCAGTATAGTGCAGTCTGACATGTAATCAGGTCTTTTAAGAAAATTACAGATTTCAGCAAAGACATATCTTAAAGCACAGAAAAATCTTTCTGTAATTTATTCCATATGTCTGTTGAACCAACACAAATTATTACGCGCTCAACAGGTTAATCTCAGTGAAATTGGTACATTGAAGTTTAAATAAAAGTTCAACGATCATTTCTGGAAGTTGAAGATTGAATTGTGCGCAGTATTAGTGGATTAATTTATATTATTAAATTAACTAGTCACTTATTTCGTACTTATTTATTCAAATTAACAAAGTTTTTTGGTTCAAAATGTATTTCCAAAGACTCATAGTGCAATATTGTTCTCATCAGTTTTAATATCTCAACAATGATATTATATAATCATCATTTACGCTTTCAGAACTTTCCCTCTTAGGAGACTTACTGATTGTTTTTAAATGAGATTGAACCAGAGTTTTTTTTACTGAATAGTTGTTGTTCAAATGATTAGTAATTTTTATTTCATTTCACCACTATCTCTTAGTCAGTTATCATCAATAATTTACTACCGCACTTTTAACTTAGTCTAATAAGTGATCACAGTTTTCTATTTAAATTCTAGGAAATTCGTTATCAAGTCACTTGGTGATCAATGTGAGTACATAACTATTAATTATTCATGTGGTTTTTTAGAAATTACTTTCTAGGCATTATTTAAGGGTAATTTTCATCACACTGATATCAGCTAAAATACTTCTCACTATTCTGTTTTAAAAGACCTTTATTTTACCACCCTCTACCTTGCTCAATGTTTCCTGGTGTAAGATTAGGTTGGAAAAAGCTTGGAGCGCCCAAACTAAGATGTGGAATTAGTCTATGAAGTCATCGATTGTTAAACTAAGCTATTATTACTTATTATTATGATTATTATTATTAATGCCTTTATTCAATATGTCTATTACAATATAGAATTCTCAACACAAAGTATTTCAATGTTTCTTTTACAAAAACGAAAGACGATAACTGAATGAAATGGTTTTTAAGAAGATTTGAATCTGTATAGCTTTTTAATTATAAACCTGTTTAAGAATACGAGTTATTGACTAAGTCAGCTCTGACAACCTGTCCATCACATAGTATATTTACCAAATAAGTTGCTATAAAGCTTTTATACCTTTGCTTGAGTGCATGCATTCTAATGCCTTGACGTCTCGTCTACCAGAAAAAATATACAAGCGGAAAGATATAAATGGAGTGGATGGTCAGTATCTGATAGATAACACCTGCTAGGAGTTTTCAAGATTTCAAATGCCTGTCCACAACCATATAATGAAACTGTGTTAGAAAATCCAGTCCACCTGGCTGGTGTCAATATTTTGCGCAACCAGTGGCTGAAGACGAGGTGACATAGCTCAGAATCGTTCTCACTCGTTCTCTATCGTACCTCAGATTCTGAGTCCCAAAGTGTTCGCATATTTTTTATACCACGAACTCATTCCTTCCTCACGAGTCATATAGGCTACATCTAACGCTTTTTACTAACACTGATCTCACCAACTCTACAATTCTGGTATTTTTCTTGATGATTTCGTCTCACTTTACTGATGTGATATGGGAACTTGTATCAATGCACATGTATGTGAGGTTCAACGGTACTTATCACTAACTGACTGAAAGAGATAATTTACTAAACCAGTTGGAATTAATGAAGTAAGATGGTTAAGATTAGATATGTTTATATACATTGAATTTTATTTACAACAAGAATCAATAACATGTCTGAAATAAAAAAGTATCTCACGTTCTAAATGAAAAAGAAATGTACATGACTTAAGCTCTGTAGATATCCAGAATGATAATGAAAGCTCCGCAATCAAACAACCTAGCTAAGAGACACGACACCAATATAAACAGAAGAGAAACATGTTCATATCATTACCTTTAAACAGTGAAGGAGTTTGTGATGTTCTGTAATCGATTATGTAAGACGATTGAAGCAATTTAATATTGTGTGG